AACAGACAAAAAAAAAAGTAATGTGTAACTATAACAGCATAAAGTCTTATAGACACAATAGAAATGCTCTAATCTATCAGAACAGAATCAATATTAACAATTATTACAGGGTTTGTTTCCTTAAGACAGTTATTGCCATCGTAAGTCATACAATGACACAAATAAACCCAGCAGAAAGTTGTTATTATTATTTCATTTTATTTTAATTTATTGAATTATTTCTTACCTTCCTCATTAGTTTTTATGGATTCTAATATACTTAAAGATGCATTCATTTAAAGTTGAGACTTTTAATCTCTTCATCATTCCAGGTTCTTCATTTTCTTTTTTTTCTTTTATCACTCTAAATTCCTCTTGCATCCTCACACTCTTAATGCATATAGTATTATATTTGACCTGATTTATAGTGAGCTCTATTTCACTGGACTTATTTTATAATGTGTATGACCTTGCTTTTATTGCCCAGCTGACCTGTTCTTCTGGTCCAACACTTTTCATTGTGCCACTGACCCTGTGTTAACTAATGAACGAAAACATAAAACCTGGAACTTGAATCACACTGTGATCTGCTCATGTGTGAATGGACTGACATCAGCTCCAATTTTGTTTAAATAGACAGTAGTTTCTCCTCCTTCAGAAAATAACATTTAAATATCAAATTAACCTTCAGAAGTGATACACCCATCACCCAAACCCTTTTATCATTTTATTTGACATTTCTATAGTGGAAAACCACACTTGGCACATTAACCCATGAGCTTAACAGATAAAATGAGTCAAATTAGGTAAAAGGATTTCAATTATAAGTCCAGGGTGCAGGAAATAAAACTTATATTTCTGGCATGTGCTCACCTGTGGATCATAGCTTCAGTTTATGTGGTGAGGCTTTAGAGATTTTCTATAAACCAGGTTCCAGCAGGACTAATCACATCTCACCCCTCAGAGTACAGAGTTTAAGCTGCTCGTTGTCATATATAGACCCTGCATGCTCAGTCTCCTGCATCTATCTCTGACCTCCTGACAACACCAGTGGGTCACATAGGTGTGTAATGTTTGCAATTCTGCATATTTTTTTTACATCTTTCTGTTGCAATTATCATTATTACATTTTGTGAAGTACTTTGAGACTTTGCTCTATGACAGGTTCCGTACTAAACTTTAATTACTGACTTACTCATTCAGCCCTGTCCCCAGTTGTCTCCACACTTTGACGACAAGCATCTGTGTCTCTGAGTATCCTTGAGCAAGACACTGAATCCCTGTCAGTGGCCCTCGTCTGTTGCTGCCCTTCACACTTTCAATTTTCCTGTGAAAAGGGCAAACCGAAAAATAGATTTCTCCTTCAGGGATTAGTTGAGTACCACTCAGAATGGTGTGTGCAGAAGAGGCACAAGCTGATTTTTTTCCTCTATAACAGAATAATCTGCAACAGTTTAGCATGCTACATCGTCACTTTGCATTTGCACTTTGCAACATATCAAGCTGCAATCACGCACAGTATGTAATGTGCCTGTGGTACCAAGAATTCCACAGTGACTCTGCAGCACCATGAATTCATTCATGAATGAGGCAGAAGCTTTCAAAGTACTTTACTCTGCAGGAGGTGATGATTTTTACAACTAGCCTCTGACATCTTGTGTAGTTTTTGATATAAACATATATCAAATGCTTTATATTTACAATTTCATCTTATGTGCTTATCTGGGTCAGCTGAGCAACATTTAGAGTTGTCAGCTTTCTGCAGCCTAAGTAGGTCATGCTAACAAGGAAGGGGGTTTTGACAAGCCTCTCATACTCCATCAGTTCACGCCACAAAACAATCTCAAGACTGCTGATTATGTAAAACACCATGACTACAGCTTTAAGCTGCAATTTCAAAATATGACAATGGACATCGCAGTGACTTTTTGTCACTGCTGGAAGATATAAAACACCAGATAAATGCAATATTTTGTGTGATAAATTTAATTTAAGCATTGTTTTGCAGGCATATTCTCTGACAGCTAAATACACCACAACATATTGCAGCTGTGGAGAAAACTAAATTAAGAATGGATGATTAGAATCTTTCGTGCATGTGTAAAGAATTTAACAGTGAGTTTATTAACCCAAAAATCATAAATATAGATGAGGGCCATGGAGATTATATGAACTGCATCGGTGCACCAGTCTCACAGACATCCTTTCACTGACCCACAAAAACAAATCTTCATGTTGCATTGAGGCACCGTCGAGCCTTAATATGGAATCAAAGTGGAACAGCTGCACCTTTGGTTGGCTTCCTGGCCTCGATTTAGGAGCCACATCTTACAAAACATGGGTAGAGCCATATTAGTGTGTGTATATATAAGCGTGGTTATGTATTCAATAAGTTCTCTGCTGTGACTCTGCACTGTCAACATGGCTCCCAGAGGAACGATCACCATGACAACTGCTCTCCTCTGCTTCATACTGGGTCTACTGAGTCCAGCTCCAGCTACCTGTGAGTTCATTTCATCACATTTAACTGCAACCAATCAGATTGGAGTATAGTATATATACATATTTCTGTGCATTGTAATAAACTAACTCATTTGTTAATGATGGTGTGTGTTTGCGTGCTGTCGGTTCCCAAACGAACAAAGCCTGTTGTACGAGATACAACAGGAAGCCGGTGCCATTCCAGCGTATTAAGGGCTACAGAGAACAGACCATCAAGGAAAACTGCCACATCGAGGCAATCATGTAAGACACGAAACCGTTACAACTCCAACCCTGCAAACACCCGCCTGAATCTGACAACCAACACTGCACTGACTGAACTTATTCCAAAATCACATGAATTCTATGCTGATGACTGTTGCTTTATTAAAAATGATTTTTTCGGGAAGCAGTACTAATGCCGTCTTTGTTAAATTCTGCACCATAAAAATGATATAGTTAGACATGGTAATCGCTATATTCTACCGTCAGAATTTCCTAACCCTGAACAGGCAGCTGTTTGGTCTTTGACAAATCTCAATAAATAATTTGTTCCCAAACTGTAGCCTATCTAAGATGAACAAAATCCAATCACACAATTATTTAATATGTTTTGAGCATCAAACCCTTTTGGAATACTAATCAAAATGTGTCAATATTATCAATCATTGTCATTTGAGAAATTTGTCTCACTTAGATGAACAGAAAATATTATTTTACAATTAAATTTTTTGAAATTTTTCAAAGTAAGTTTATGTATCTGTTTTTTGAATCATTAAAATAAAGCATTCAGTCGTGTTAACTATGTTAACATAATTTCATCACATTAAATAGGCAGTTTTTTGATCTTTTGTACATCAAACAATCATGGTTACAAATCATTTGTTCCTAATCTGTCTAGTCTCTGTGTAACATTGGCGAAATCCAATCACACGATTATGTTATGTAAGTCTGACCATCAAACCTGAATACTTTTGGAGGACTACTAAAAATGTGTCAATATTACCAGTTAGTGTCATAATAAGATATATCATTTTTAAAAACATTATTTTTAGTCATTTTCTCTAAAGTTCGTAGAAAGGCTGCAACCACAAAGTAAATCAGTGATGCAGTAGAGAAATGTGGTTTTCTTCGATCCAGAGGAAAAGTGTTTTTGTGGTGAAACTTCGTCAGACAGAGTGAACAAAAACCGCTTCTGTATCTGGATTGAAAGTACAATATAAAGTACAAAGTACAGCTCTAAAGTATCTCTCTGTCTCTCTGTTATAGTTTCTACACCATAAAGAAGAATGCGATTTGTGTGACTAAGAGGGATGAGTGGGTGAGAAAAACTCTGGAATTACTCAGGTATGAGATTCTTATCCACTTCTTCATAACAACTACTACAAGTTTAGATGTCAACCTGAAAACGATAACAAGCTTCTTTGAGTTTTAAGAGTTTTCTTTTGTTTCTATGTTGCAGCTCTAAACTGAAGAAGATGTCCAAGCCCAACTCAGCTGGAGGTGAAACTCTGAAGAAGAAGAAGAAGAAAAGAGGAAATTCTTCATTTAACGATGGAAGCGGATCTTTCTTCAGTACCACAGCAACATTCCTGAACAACACTGAAAGTTTCTATTAGCAAAAAAAATGATTGTGGCCTCGGAGAATTACAGTAATTAAAGTTATAAAAGGGAGGGGGGTGTTTGAGAGAAATTGAACCCACTGTAATCACATCCCGTTGATGCTATAATCTCTGAAAAAGAGATGTTCATTACTTTGACTTGGCTGAACATGTGCAGGATCAGACATAATACTTCATTATCATGACTTGAGAACCTGAGATCAACAGCTTGGAGACGGCTGGTGTAGATTAAAATCTTCTGCCATTTAATCATGTTGGAGTGAGCATTTCTTTTTGTTTTTTATTATGCTTTTTTGAATATTCATTTCCTTCCTTTATGTGAACCTGCTTAATCATATTAACCAGCAAATACAGCAACCAATACTGATACTGATGATTCTTATAAACAAATAAATGTTGGTGATAGTACTCCAATAGTAATAAAACAATGTCTCACTGATATGTGCCCTGTGACTTTGGATGTCACCAAAACCTAGAACATTAGATGTTTCATGCAATCGTATGACATCTAGGCAGAAGAAAACTCTTGACATTAGGTAACTACGACTGAGTCGACTGCTGCTCTGCATTGTTGTGTGTTTTAGTGGCGTGACATGTGCGGCTGGATGCTGCCAGCACGTGTGCTAGATGGTGTGTGAGAAGTTTTTTCGATGAGCTGTCCTGCCCTCAGAGCCCAACACATGCTAATGCACGACATGACTGACAGGGAGGCAGCATCTTGTGCTATTTCAGATCAGCACCCCAAGGGGTTTGGTGCTCCAGACAAGGTGACCCCCCAATGACACGCTCCTGCACTGCAGTGTCGTCAAGTCTCCACCAGATAGCAGTGCTGATCTGTGCCTCTGTTGGCTACATTATGATGATGAGCACACTTACTTTTGATTTCCACCATTATCCAACAATAACAACATGGGTAGATTGTGTGAAGAAACATTTATTGTGTTTAGAGCAGACAGAAGAAAAGTCTCTTACAGTTTTTACTGTAAAACAAAGACTTGTTTTGTATCTTTGATTGCTACTATGCCTAAAAAGCACACAGATTATTAAAAAGAGACAAATAAATTATTATAAATATTAAATACCATTTGCAGAGTAACACATGCAAACATTTTTAATATGTTAAATTAATTCTAAATTAATTGGCAATTGATAATTCTAATGGTGAGAAGTGCTTTCTATGAGCTGGAGGTTGTCGTGGCAGAAGTGGTCTTCTTTGCTCTGCGGGCCTGACTGTAAAACACACAATTAAAAGACAGTTAAAAAGCTGTTTGACATGTTCCATAAACATCAAAATGTAGTTAACATGACTGACTAGCATTAAGAGTTGATTTTGTAGATGGACTGAGATGTTCAACTCACTCTAGCTCCCTGATCTTCTCAGCCACCCAGTTCTGTTTCCAGTGGCTGCAGATTTCTCCCTCTGTCGTCTCAAATCTGGTGGATAAATAATAAATGATTAGTTTTAATCTCTAACCCTGTTTTAATACAAGATATTCCATGAACTACATTTGGTTTCAATCATCACTCTGTGTTTGATAAACTTAAGAGGTGGTTCTTACATGACAGCGCGGACGCAGGGCAGGTTCTTCTGCTGGATCCTGAAGCCGATGATGGGAGCAGTGAAGTTCTCAGTGCTGACCTTAGTGCAGCACTCGCTTAACTTCACTTGTGCTTTTTAGGAAACAAACAAGGACATAATGAGTCTATACAGTTTGATTTTCATCAGAATACAACCATTTTATATGTGCATGTAAAAGCAATTTTTTAAAGTATGATGACGAACAGTGTAATTATGGTGCAGGATGTCTAAAAGTCCCCTTACCAGAAGCTGTTGTTGCCATGGCCAGAATCCCAACGAGGACAGCCAGGCACGCAAGTCTTTTGATGCAAAGCTGCATGGTCAATGTGTGAGACGTTCCAGAGGTTCTTTGCTGAAGCTGCTGAACGATGGATTTAGCAGAGAGTGAGTGATCTTCTCAAACTCGTCCTCCAGGTTTTATACCATAAAAAGAGGAACCAAGGCCTGCTAACAGGATGAACTGTCTCACTGGGCTGTCTGCAGTGTGTGTGCATCAGGGTGGGGACATAGAACTCGGTGGAAAATCTAGTTGTTCATTTCCGTCTTTGCTATTTCATCATAAAATGGTTATGAATGGCAAAGAAATGAAACTCAAATTGTGGCTCCAATACAGATATTTCTTTTACTTATTTAATAGGATATTTTAATAGA